TCGGCCAGCTGGACAGTGACTTGCGCCAGCACTTCGGCCAGCTCTACCAGACCGAGCTGGTCGGCATCAGCCCAGGCTCCGCTGACGTCTACACGGCTGCCACCAACATGGCTTCCACGGTGCTGGCCACCTTGGACAATGCCGAGGGGCGGAGGGCGCAGCCAAACGGGGGCGACGAAGGGGGAGGAGAAGGAGAGAGGATGTCGCGTTGGCAGCAGCGAGAGAGCGGCAGACATTTCCCCGACACCTCCCCTGGCCAGTCCCCCGAAAACGAGCTACCCGGCGATGATGACATGGAGGAAGATCCAGGAGGGTTGGAAGCTGCTGACCAGGACCTTCATGGGGCCCTGGCACAAGAAGGACTCTTGGATGGGCCCCAAGGGGCCAGGGTCTCTCGGGTTATCGCCAGACACCTCAAGAAGAAGACTCAGCCCCGCAGGCCACATTCAGGCCCATCGGCTGAGAGGGGCGAGCTGGACACACCGCCGCCGCGTGTTTAGCAGGGCTCGTCTTCGAGTCACAACCTTTAACGGTTCCTGTTGGTCGACCTGCAAGGAACTCCTACAGGACTCAAAGTGTGAAGTTGTTCTTCTCCAGGAACACGAGCTTCTGGCAGAAAGTCTCAGTTCAATACAGTCTACTCTTCTGCGAATGGGATGGCATCCGTACGCTTCACCAGCTATTGTCAATACTAACGGTTGTGCCACAGGTGGAACAATGGTGGGCATCAGGAACCATCTGGCCCTTTGGGGCTTCGACAAGAGCAGCGTTTTTCCTGGTCGTTTATCTGGGTGCTTTCTGCGAACAGCTAAGCTCGGGGTCATTCAGGTCTTCTCGGTTTACCTCCAGGACCGGGTGCACATGAATGAACTAAACCGTCGGGTCCTCAATAAGGTTTGGTCCCGTGTCGCAAGCTGGCACACCGTTTCTCCTGGGAGGTGTGTAAGCCTCCCTCGTATACTACACTCGTCAACAAGCTCGAGCACGCCATACATGCACGCGCACGTGCATATGGAAACATATTCATGGCCTGTGAACAAGAACAATCACACCTACAGACTATCTTAGATGAGGTATATTTGGAATGGTCTACACATGCATGGAATGAGCTGGTAAGTATCACACAGACCGATCCACGAGCTAAAGGTCGCGGAGGAGGTCTCCCGCCTGAGTTTCAATGTGTGCCTCTGCGCAAGGTGTTGGCTACTAAGGCTAACACCAAAGTATTCCCAGGCCGCGCGCTGCTATGGGTCTTAACAGATTGCCGGAGGTCGAGGCGCTACTGGTCAAGAATGGACCGTACAAGCTCGACTCCTACCTCACCTCCTTCCTCCGTCAGTTGTTGGAATTTCCAGAGAAAGGGGGGCCCTTTCGACGCTATTGGACACAGGGTATCAGTTTCTGGCACCCTTTCTTGTCTGACCTTGCCCGCGCCATTTTGATGAAGAGTTCTAATGCTATGCGAGTCTCACTGGTGGCGCCAGTTAACAAACACGTGCAAGCCTGCTCCCATTTGGGGCAGGTCCAGGAGCGCCGCAGGCAGAGGAAGGAATGGGGGGAATGGTGTACACAAGCGGGTTCAGGACATGCTCAGAAAGCTTTCTCTTTCCTTCGGGTCTCAGAATACCGCCCTGAAGATGTCGTCGGAGCGGGCCCATGCATGTCGCCGTCTCTACCAAGGGGGATGGAGGCGGAGGTCGAACATTGGTCAAAAGCCTGGGACGCAACGCCAAACAAAGCCCCTCTCCCGAGTCGTGCTTCGATGTGCCCAATACCTGTTCCACCTCCTGCCCACCCAGAAGTTATTAGAGCTATAGCGAGACGTTTCACGATGCGAACATGTACTCCAGACGGCAGGCATCCCAGGCATTACTCGCTGCTATCGGCTGGTGCGCTGGAGGCGCTCTCGTTAATCTTCCACATCATGGGTGTACTTGGCACGGCTCCCACATCCATCCAGATGGTAATCATGCTGCTTATGTGTAAGCCCCAGGGAGGCAGAATACCCTTGGGCCACTACCCAGCTACGCCACGTCTGCATGCTAAACTACACAGAGGCCCATGTAGATCCTGGGAACGAGAGTTTGGGCTGGGTGCTGCTTTCTCTATGTCTCAGGGACGGGGACCTCAGGACATTGTTTGGCGTAATGCTGTAAGAGCAGAATGGCATAGCGATCAAGGTATTTCATACTTATGTGTCCTATGGGATCTAGTGCAATTCTACGAACAGATATGCCACTGCAAGCTACTAGAACAAGCTGAACTAGTTGGCTTTCCTATGTATGCCATCCTCTACACCATAGGCGCATACCGATGGACAAGAGTTCTTTTGATGGGCGGGGCTTTTGGCCCATCTTTGTCCCCACAGTGGGATCACCGCTGGTTCAACATCGGCGACTTTTGAAGCAAAGGCTTATCTTTTACCAACTGTCAAGAGCTGGGCTTTCGACCCCGGCCACTCATGCCTCGGAGTTCACATTGGTGACCTCCAGTTGCACCCATGGGCCAGCTCGGTGAAGCTCTGCATCTGCACCATGCAGGCTATGACGGTGTCATTAGCCAAAGTTCGTCAACAATACTTGGGGTGCTCTCCTTCTGCAAAGAAGATGACCATCACCGCCAACTCCGAGGAGCTCGCGAAACATGCTAGAGCAGCTGTTGGACCCTTAGGAGGCTCTCTGGAGGACGCTCCACCTAATCTCGGGATAGACTACATTGCGGGGAAGCCGAAGTCCCGGGTCCGTCGTCTGAGCAAGAGGGCTGCTAGGTGGCGTAAGTTTAGATATAGAGTGAGTAGGCTTAAACAAGTTCTGGGGCTCTACAAAGCGAGTGCACAGTCCGTCACCTCCGACGGGGCCCAAGTGCAAGGCTGCTCATCCAGGGAAGTTTTAATTTTAAGAAAATCGGCGGCTGCGGCTATGGGGGTGAAGCCCCCGGGGGTTCCCTTGAATTTATCCTGGGCTCTCTCGTCTCTGTCCCAGGAAGACCCCATATATATAGCTGCAGCCACGATTGAGCGTTATGCGTCAGAATGGTGGCACAACGCGCAGACCCGTCCAGAAGCTGGGGTCAAACACAAAGATGCCATCGTTTTGAGCTCACCCTCTTCTGCGTTTCGTGCTGCCCATGATTCGGCGCAGAACTCCGTTGGTAAATCATGGGCTGCTCGAGAAAAAGGGTCGTTGAGTGACGCAAGTTTGTGGATTCTCGAGGAGGGGTGGACGATAGACAGTCCCTCCACTTTCACAACCTGTCAAGGCGATAAGTTGGTCCTCACTGAATGCCCCACGTCGGTGGTCACTCAGACCTTTGTCAAGGACTTAACCAGCCAGAAGATTGCCGCAGTATTTCGGAGGAGGCTTGCACCCTTGTCTCACCCCATTGCTCGCCAGATGGAAGCAGAAGGATACTGGCTGTATGCAGGCAAAAAAGTCCTCCACGGGAAATCTTGGCCCGATGAACATAAGCATCTTTTCAAACAGGCTCTTGCAGGGGACCTCCCCACTTGCGAAAGGCTCCACAAGTGGGGCTACGATGTTTCGCCTCTTTGTTTGTTCTGTCATGTGCCAGACACACCCTTTCATCGCATATGGGAGTGCGTCCATGGGGCTGCTAAGCGCCAGGAAGTTTTTAGTCCAAAGTTGATCCAGGACGCCCTGGAAGCTGGCCCCGATCACCCACTCTTTGCTCACTTCCTTCAACCTGCCCCCTCCATGCCAGAGGTGGCCCAGGGTTGTTTTTTTTTTTTCTTTTTTCAGATTTGTGGATGCTTGCTGCAACTCAGTCGACCCACCCATGTCATTTCCCCCAGAGGCTTTTATTTTCACTGGCGGGGGATGTGACAGCCCTTCAAATTCGGAACTAGCTCTTGCAGAGGTGGCGGCTGTGGAAGCCGACATTGAGGAGCATCTCCTTCGTGCGATTTTCTTCCCTCTCCCTCGAGATTCCCCTCGATCACCTGGATATGCCGAGCATGCAGCAGTGGCCTTAGCGATGCTCCGATCGCTCGACCCTGCTAGTAACACGTATCACTACGATTGTTCTGCCCTGGGCCAATGTGTCACTTGGACAGAGAAAGCTCTTGCAGGTAGAACCCCACAAGCCAGGTGCTGCAGGCCAGCTGCGCGTGCGCTCGGTTCATCACCCATCCCTGCCATGTGTATAGTGAAGGCCCACCTACCAGAGGGAGAGGCTTGGAACTGCGAGTCGGGCCTAGGTAGGGGGTCTGCGGTTGATGGGGGCTTGGTGGTTGGGCCGTGAGATTTCGGAGTTGCCCCCTTGGTCGATCGCCGGACGGTGCGAGAGTCCTGGGGCGCGGGTTTGATGGGCCGCGTCTCGGCGCGAGAAACCCTCGATCGTTTCAGGTTCCCCCCGGTCCGATCATCACTTATTATACTCTTCCGACGAATGCAAACAGACAGCGCATCAGTTCCACAAATATAAAACGAGGAGGGAACTATGAGGGGGGAGGAAAAGGAGAAAGAGGAGGGAGAAGGGAGGAGTGAGCGAGGATGGTGGGAAAGGGGAGAGGATGGAGGAGGAAGGGGGGGAGGGGGGGGACGGGGGGGGAGGGGGGGGGGGGACGATAGAGGGGGGGGGGGGCGCAGGGGGGGCGCATGGGCAGCCGATCCGCCCCGCCCCTATCCAGGTAGTTGGACCGTCTCTCAGAGATCCCAGGTTGCCCCCTTGTCCAGGAGCCGCCCACCATCCGTGCAGCTAAAATTGCCAACGCGTTCATTCGACAAGCTCAGGGAAGTAACGAACGCTCGTTTTGAAAAGGATCAGCCCTCTACCATTGTAGCAGTTGTTCAATTCGACGCGTCTGGCCGTTTCCAGTTGAGCAACCAGTTAGGTATACTGCAACAGCAAGCAGTAACATCCACTCTTTCTGAAATCTATCCTGTTTCCTCCCTCTCCTCCACCCAATCCGTAACCATTCGGGCTCAAACTATCTTCGGGCCGATCGCCACCCGCGACGAATGGCCGATGCATCTGATGAGGATTTCCTCGGCAGCATCTGCGGCAGTTGCGAGGGGGAGGATTTCCTCGGCAGCATCTGCGGCGACGGGGCACCCGCCGCAGAGGGCGTGAGCGACGAGGATTTCCTCGGCGGCAGCTCCGACGAGCTGCAGGTCGCCACGGCTGCGAGGGCGGCGGGCGCAGCAGGCGGCCATCCTGCCCCCGGCCTCGGCCCGCTGGCGCTGAGCGCTGCGGACGCCTACGCGCCTCCAGCTGCGGCGAAGCGCGGCCGCAGAATCCTGCCGGCCGCCGCTCGAGCTGCCGTGCACGCCCTCGAGCCGACCCCCGAGGTGGCGTTTGAGTCGGCCGTGCCTCGCACCGCCGCGTTCCTGCTGGACGCCGATGCGGCCCGACCGTCGGCGTTGTCATCAGCAGAGAAGCTTTGCCAGATTTGCGGACTGGCCAAGAGCACTTGGCGCGACACAGCCGATGCCATCGCTCGCTGCACGTGCCAGGTGATGCGGAAGTCGGTGGATCGTTTCGCGCAGTCTGTCCCGGGGATCTGCAGGGGTGGCGGCCAAGGCGGATCTCGGCTCCAGCCTCTCGTGCATTTTCGGTTTCGTTGCTACGACGGGACCAAGCAGCGCGTGAGAGCGCACTCCACCGCGGCAACGCAGGGCGGAGTCCGAGCCGCAGCCGTTGCTCCAGTTGCTGGCAAATTCGAGGTCTACACTTCGCTTGCGAGTCGGGCCGTCTGCTTGATGAAAGGCTAGCCTTCGGCCCGAGAGCTGCTCACGCTGCAGGTCCGAGAGCCGACGGTGCTGCGCGCGACGGGCGGGACGGCGGCGGAGTCTGTCCATGCGGCGCTGGCCCACATCAGGTCAGATGCCGATGGCGAGCTGGACGTGGTGTTCCCCAGGGGCGTTGACTTTGTGACCAGCGACGAGCACGGGGCCAATCTCAAATATGAGAACCATCGTTCGCATGTTGCGCATCGCCCACCATCCCTGCTGCACCTCTTTTGTGATGCACACCAAAAACACAAAGTGGCCGCTCTTGGCCATGGGATCCAGAAGCCAGCTGACACGATGATTTTTCGCATGCAGCTCGCGATGCAAGGGCCGGCGTTCCGCCTCACGCAGGCGGTGAGGACCATCATTGCCGAGCGGCTCGTCATCATCGATGGTGGTAAGTTGGATGATGAGGCCGCCGAGTTCAGCCGACAAGTACGATGCGTGGCCCCCAGTCCGTTCCACTGGGGACAAGTTTCGGCGGAGATTGCTGCAGGGGTTGTGGAACGGGGACTTGCGGCGGTCAGACCGCATAGAGCATATATGTCGCGGGTGCTGCAAATCCAGAGCGCAGACGTTGTACATGATGCAGACAGCTGGCCTCAAGGCGTTGGTCACGAACGTTTGGCGCGTGATGGATCGGCAGAACTGGACAGGTGCTCACTTTTGCCTCTGCGGGCTCGGCCTTGCATCGTTCGTCCACAACCTCTTGCCGTCTGCGTTCCTTGTTGTGTTCGGCGCCCAGTGCACACAGGTCGACGGGCCAGATGGCGCTGGCGACGGCCTGGAGGGCGACCTCGGCGCGGAGTGGCTCGAGCGCGACGTCGAGAAGACCATCTTTGTCAGCGCCTGGAGGGAGGGCAACGTTGCCAAGATCTCCCGCGCCATCGATTGGATCGTGAGTGGATCGTTTCACGACTCCTTGCACCTCTTCGCTCGCTCCCACGAGCCATGCAACGATATGGTTTTGGGGGAGCTCGAGCGCACTGGGGTCCAGTGGGAGCTGAAGCAGCAGCAGCGCCTTCTCGAGACAGGGGAACGCACCTACCCCTTGTAGGAGGCAGCTGGCCGCACGGCCGTCAGGCGCTTCAGGGAGCAGGTCTGCGACATGGTTGTCAATGACGGCTGGCCGTTGCTGCGAAGCCCCACCGAGCTGCAGCAGTTGCAGGTCTTCACGCTGTGCCCCCGCTTGTCTGCGGCCGCGTACCAGCTGGTCGAAGCCAGACACAGGGCGACGCCATGCGCTACATACAGCGCCCTTCGAGATTTGGGGGCCCTCCGCAGCTTGGCGGCTCGGCCCAAGTGCACCCTTGACACGTGCACCGAGGACTTCGTCAGCTACCACACCGACCGAGGTGGTGTCGACGGTGCCATGGCGAAGGCCAGGCTGTCTGGCGCGCTGCAGCTGGTGATGACCAACTCTGCCGTTGCGGAGCGCGCTCGCAGCCAGAACTTGCGTCGCATCACGTTTCGGTCGGCAACGTGGAAGATGAGCGCTATGTCATTGTCTGGGTCCTTCTTGTTCGGCCAGCTCTGGCAGTGGCAACAAAGCGTATTCCGAGCGTGGGGGTGACCACGTGGATGCCAAGATTAAGGGGCAGCGGCAGAAGCAGGAGCTTCGATCGCAGCAGCCACGTCGCAACATCAATGCTTGGGTTTGGCGTGCTTTCGCCCACCTGGAATTTGGAGGCGCGTTCGTTGACCAGGCTCTCGGGAGTGAGCTTTCAGCCCGATACCACATGCTCACGCCCGAGCAGCGCGCGCCCTACGAGGATTTGGCCGCAGTTGCCGTCCAGGAGCACGTGGCTTGTCGGCGGGCGTTCGGGCCCTGCGCGAGGCCATCCCGTGCGAGACCTCTGAGTAGGTCAGGTTGTGCGCAGCCGAGTGGTATTGCAATCGAGGGCGGCGCCGACGACGTGATGTCCGCCGCGGAGGCGGCCGCCTTCGCCTCCGACAGCATCATCCTGAAGAGTGCCCTGGTGGAAATGAAGCTGCACAGTGCCGCGATGAAGCGAGAGGGCGAGGAGATGAGGGCGACAGCAGCTCGCCTCCATCGGCAATCTGAGCCTGACAAGTCTACACTTGGCCAGGAATGGCACCTTGTTGCTGGGGGGGTGCCCGCCTCCGTCGCTGCGGGCATGACGGTCCAGCAGTCGATTGTTCCGACCTTGCAGTACACGAGGACGCCGACTTCAATATTGTCTGAGGTTCTTCGGGCTTTGGATATCAGTAGTGTCAAGCGGGAAGCAGATGAGTGGAGGCGCACGCACCCCCACACCGTTGAGGCCGAGTGTCCCAAGCTGCACGCGCCCGCCAGGCCGCGTCGGTGGTGTTGGGAAGCAGGTTACTGCGTATGTACTGGTGCTTCTGCCATCGCGAAGAAGTTCCACGACCAGCTGTCGGTCATGTGGCGCGTCCTGGCACACCGCCTTGGCGAGAAGGTCTTCAACGTGAAGTTGGAGAGCGGCGTCCTGGTGCTGAGGTTCACTTGCGTTGGCGTCTCGGCCCTGGGCCCAGCGCCGCCTCTTGGCGCAGGTGGCGAGTCTGCAATTGTCCCTGCAGGCCATGCGCCAGCCGCTGAGGGCTTGCACAACGTCGCCCTCGATTATGGGCGGCCGGGGAGGCCAAGCTTCGCCCGCATGCGCTGGGAGCCGCTGGAGGATCGCCCTGGCGTGGCGGGAGTTGCTCCACAGGTGGTCGGCGAAGGCGACGGCGGCGCTGCTGTGCTCAGCTACCTGACGGGGACAGGCAGTCGATCACCGCTCGCGTGCATGAGCTGGTTGCAGACGCCCGCAGGGTTGTAGCCTGTCGGCCGAGCCGACAGCGGATCTTGTTGACTCCGATGCTGGAGGAGGAGCTCTGGGGTTTGAAGCCACCCCCCCCGAAGCCAAGGAAAAGGAAGGCCCACCCGGTCAACAGGCCGAAGCGCGGGCCGCACCCGATGGAGACGGCGCCGCCTGCTCCCGCGGAGGCGTTGGAGGACGTCAGTGACGGGAACGAGGCTGGAGGTGACGAGGACGAGGTCGAGTTCCGACCCCAGGAGGACGAGCCGCACGGCGACGGCGAGGATGAGCTTTTCGACGAGGAGGCTTGGGCATTGTTCGGGTGGAGCGACGACGACTTCGACGGCGTGGACCCGATTCGGCTCGATGGCAGCTGCGGCGGAGGAGATGATGAGGTTCCGCCGCGCCGCGTGTTGCACGTGCCAGGCGGCAAGATCAAGTACTACGCCCACGGCAGCCCGCGCTTCGCTGCTGAGTGCGCGGCCCACGCTGCGCGCATCACCAGCCGCACTGCTCGGGAGAGCCCTTTTGCTGCAAGGGCTGGGCAGGCGCTCGCGTTCCTGCTGGCGACCGCCCCGACCACGTGAACACGCAGCACGCCCGCGTGCACGGCTGGGGGCCCTCGCTGGCCAGCAGGCATGCTGCTCGCGATCGGCTGCTGTTCGCCGCGGGCGACCCAGTCGGCGCGGCGACGCTAGGGCTCGAGCGGCCTCGCAGGGCTGGTGAGCCCGAGGAGCCCGAGTCTATACCGAAGTGAAATGTTGTCGTCCCCACGGGCCCCCCTTGCAGAGCCCCCCTCTCCCCTCTCCCCCTCCCCCTCTGTCCTAGTCACCCCTCTCAGTATCCTGACCCCCCCCCCCCCCTCTCATTATGCTGAACACCCGCCCTCCCCCCCCTCATATGCACTGCCCCCCCTCATTATGCTTACAACCTCCCCCTCCCACTCAGCATGCCCACCCTCCCTCTATCCCCCTTTGCCCTTGTCACCCCTCTCACTCGCCCGCCCTTTCTCCCCCCTCGGTATGTTCACCGCGCCACCTCTCCCCAGTTCTCGCCAGCACCCCTCTCGCTCTGCGCCGCTTCGCCCCACCCCTGCCCTGTGCACGTCGGGGCATCGCTGGCACTCGGTCGTTGAGGCACGCGCCCGCGGGTATTTGTGTAGGCAGCCGCTTTCCTCAGGGTGGTCCTGGGCCCCAGTGAAAACAACGGCGCTGCCCACGGGATGTTCTGGGTGGTTCGGCGTTCCCAGTTCTTGTTTCGAGGGGTCGGCTGGCCTCGCCGAGGGCCCGAAGGCGCCGCGCTTGCCCGATGCCCGCCCGCCAGGGTGCGACCCGCCACGCCTGCGAGGTCGGCTCCGATACCAGTGCCAGGAGCAAGCGAAGAGACGGACGATCAACCCCGCACCAATTCAGGCAGCTCGGACCGTCTCGCATAGATCCCAGGGTTACCCCCCTTACCCAGGAGCAACCCACCACCCGCGCAGCCGCAAGTACCAGTATAATCAACAATCTGAGGGATGTGTTTATCGGAAGCTCGTTTTGAAAAGGAGCATCCCTCCATCAATGTGGCAGTTGCCCACGTCACGCCTGGCCGTTTCCATTTAAGCAGCAAGGTATGTCAACAAGAAGCGTTCACATACAGAGTTACACGTGCAAGTGTATTTTGGCGCGTGCCTCACAATGTGAGTATGTCTTTCGGCGGCGCGCCGTCTGTTGCGGACGCCGGCTGCTAGCGCGAAGGATTGCGCCCCGTCTGGCAGCGCACGCTTCGCGGGAGCTGCGAGTTAAACTTGCGCCCGTCGCGTCACGAATATATGAGCGCCGCGCGTGGCGTCCCCGAGTTGCTTTAGCCTAGTGGCCGATGTCCGAACCGAGCTTTCGGGCACGCGCTTAGTTGCGCGCGTTGCAAGCGCGCTTGCCCGCAGTTCAGCAACGCTGCGCAGTGGCGAACCTTGTGGTGTTGGCGGGGCACACACCATGCGCGCGCGCGCATTTCGCTGCAGCGACTGCGCCGCGAGCGAGCGCCCAGCACAGTCGTTCTGTGCGACGCGACGCTGCGAAGCCCCTTCCCGATTGCGCGCGGTCGCCCCTCGCACTCTGCAGTGCGCAGATGCCCTGCGCCCCTCGCGAGGGAAACCGCTTTCGAGGGCGTCACGCACCAGTGTTGCCCAGGAGGGGGGGGGCCCATTTGGTGCGACTGCGAGCGCGGCGCCTTCCCCGATCCGATCGGTTTGCTCGAAGACGCCGTCTCGTGCGGTTGCGTCCGCGCGCGCGCCGCACCAGCCGCGCGAGCGCCCATGCTGGTTTTTGGTGCACATTCAGCGGCCCGTCTGTCCAAGCGCGCCTGGCGCGCGCGCCATCGCACCGACTGATGGCCCCGCGCCGACAACGGCGCGTGCAGCTCCACGCTTGGGCCGCGACGTATACAACCACGCCATGTTGTGCGCCGCGCATTCGAAGCGCGCGGCGTTGAAATGCCGCGCAGCGGCTGACGACGGCGACAACGGCGACCGCAAAAAAAAAGACAGCGAGAACGATGCATGTGACAAAGTGGCAGCATGCCAAGGACAGGTCGCATCGCTCGTGCCACGACGAAGGCAGCAGGACAGGACCTCCACTAAGCAATGGCTCGCACATTATTACGAGCGGCGGGGCGAACCACAAGAGGACGAGGGCGGCTATTGGATCGAGCCCTGCCTCCCGTAGACGGCGACAAGGACACGCGGTGGGCGGGTGCATTCTATGCACAACGATGTGCTTGGGAATCTAAGGCTTCCTGGGCGGAAGCAGCCGCGATGGTTGCGCGCGACGGCGACGGCGACAACGACGGCCGCCGCGCCGCTGCCCCTTGGCTTGAGCCCCCAGCCCCGCCACGCCCCCCACCCCCCACCGCGCTCCCACCGCTACGGCCGCGCGGGGTCATCGGTGCGTTGCCGACCGCTGGGCTTCAGCGCGCTGTTGAATGCGAGCCGAATGCGCGCGATGCCGCCCGCTGTGGTCGCGCTGCGGAGCGCGATGGGCGCATCGGCGGAGGTGCGCAGCAATGAGGCCAGCAGCGGCGTCGGCCTTTCACCCGATAGTCCTCTTGTGTGCACAGTCCTGCCCAGTTCGACCCATGACTTCGCGCGCACTTCCCCCGATGGGGCGCGCCCACCAGCGCGCGCAAATCCTCTTCGGCAGTGCGCAGCGGCCCGCAATTCGCTGCGCCTACCAGTTGGGCGCGACGTTGCAGGCGCACGTTGGTGCGGATCTCGGGTCCGCCGAACGCGTCGGTCGCGCGCTGCTGCGCGGACCGCTGCCCTCCCAGCTCGATCGCATCAGAGGTCTTGCGCGCGCGGCCAGCGGTGGTCAACGCGAGGCGCGTTGCGGGCGAGCCGCGGGATTCTGTTCATCGGCTTGCTATGGCGGGTCGCGCAAGCGGGCGCCCGTCCATTTGGCGGCGGCGCCCGCTCTACATCGGTCGGGGGATTCGGCGACGACGGGCGGGCGCAGACCCGTGGAACCCCTCGCGCATCCGAGCGTCGGCGCGCGAGTTCTCTCGCGAAGGCGCGAGCGCTGGACAGCGTCAGGGCCCCCCGTGGAGCTTCCGAACGGCTTCTGGCACGCCTCAGCGAAGCGCCAGTCGCAGAGCAGCGTTAGGCGGCGGCAGCGACGACCGCCGCGCCGCTGCAGAGACAACGAGACACGTGATAAAGCGGCAGTGCGCCAAGGCCGCGAGAAGGCCCTGGAGGGCGCCGGGGCCGCGAGGAAGGCCCAAGAGGATGGGGCCGCGAGGGAGGCCCAGGAGGGCGCCGAGGGCGCGAGGAATGCCCAGGATGACGAGTTCGAGCCTTGTCTCTCGTAGACGGCGACAAGGACACGCGGTGGGTGGGTAAATTCTGCGCACACCGAGGCGCGCGGCTGCGGCCGCGACGGGGCCCAACCAAGTTCGGAGCAGCGCTGATCTGATGACCGCTGGAGGTGCTCCTGGAGGAGCTTCAAGGCTCCCGTGGCGGTGCCTTCGACGGTGCCAACCATGGTGCGTTTGGCGGGCGCCATCTCTTCAGCCGGTTGGCGCCAAGTCCCCGCCCATCGCCCCTCCGCGTTGCAGGTTCGCGCGGGGGCAAGGGCTCAGGGCCGCGCGCGGGCGTGGCACCGATTGCGCTAACCACCCCCTTCACCACCGCACGAGACTAGTCTGAATGCGACAGCGCGCGCGCCCAGGCAGTTGCTTGCGCGGCCCCAATCACAGCGCGGGAACACTACAAGCAGCGCGCGCGCGCCTTTCTGCAGACCAGCCAGCCACCACCTGGCCATCCTGAGGGCCTCGCCAGCGCGGCGCACCGACCAGACCCCCCACCACCGCGTTCTCATCGGGTTCCTGGTTCCACCAGGAGACCATCAAACGGCCATCAAAAGGTCATCAAGAGGCCATCAAAAGGTCATCAAGAATCGGTAAGAACACGACGGATGACCAGACCATCAAAATTGATCAAACTGGATCAAAATTGATCATAATTAATCAATAGGTTATCAACAGGTCATCAATCGGTCATCAATAGGTCATCAATTGAATCGGCAGGACACCAACAGGTCATCAAAAGGCCACCAAAACCCCATCACAACCCCACCAAGGAACCATCAAGCTCGATCAACTTTGATCAAGTGGGCGCGCGGCGCCCGAACCATTCCATCGGCACCGTGGGTTTCGAGGCTTGGGTGGGTGGGCGGGCGCGAGGGGGAGGGGGGGGGGGGGGGGGGGGGGGGGGGGGGCGGTGGCCCCAGATTTTTTGCAAAGTACACCCCCCCACCACACACACACACACACACAACACACACACACACACACACACACACACACACACACACACACGCACGCACACACACACACACACACACACACACACACACACACACCACACACACACACACACACACCACACACACACACAACACACACACACGCACATAGCGCAGCGGTTGTTGTGCGACGGGGGGGGGGGGGGGGGGGGGGGGGGGGGGGGGGGGGGGGCAGAAATTTTGCAAAATGCCCCCCCCCCCCCCCACTTTACAACCAGAAGCGCACTTTACAACCAGATGGGTCACTTTACAACCAGCTTACAAAATCCGAGAAGGGCACTTTACAACCAGGAAGGGCACTTTGCAACAAGGCAAGTGGAAACACATATTGAATGCACGCGGGCCTTTCCCTGAAATCTCCGCGGGCAAGCGCAAGGGTGGCGTTGGGCTCTTCGAGGCATGTCGGTTGTAAAGTTGCCCATCGCGCACGAAGAAGCACTGCGCACGCGTTGGTGATGCGACAACCTGGTGCGCTATGGTATGTTGCGTGCTGGTGGGCCGATTCTGTTTTTGACCTGCTCTCTAAGCTCTGTCGGTCAGTTCTGTCATTGCTTGCTCTGCTTTTTTCTGACGGACGAAGGCTACTCGCGCAGGACATGCGAATAAACCGCGATCCTTTCCAAGACTGGAGCTGCATGGCAGTGGGGAGCTGTAGTGCGAGATGTGGTAGCGGGGGCTACAATGGGAACTGCATGGTCCTGGGAAGCTGCGGTGGCAACTGTGGTGGTCGCCAGGCTGCGGTGGGAACTGTGGTGGTAGCTGGGATGCAATTTGATATGTGGTGGTAGCGGGGGGTCAGTCAGAATTGCGGAGGTAGCGGGGCTGCAGCGGTAAGTGTGGTGGCAGCAGGGTTGCGGTGGAAATTGCAGTCGAAGGGGTTCAATACGAGGCCGTTGGTGAAGACCCCGACCACCGTCTTGAACATGGCGGTGACCGCGGAGGTGGACACGCCCCAGTAGGTAGACATGGAAGTAAGGCACGTCAAAGGAGAACGCGCCCAGCGGGAATGGAAACCGCTCAAAGGCATCGCTGGGGCCTGCGCAGAGCGTTCAGGCGCTCGGGCTCCGGAGCGCCCACGTGCTCTGGAGCACTTTTCAGAGCGTCCGCGCGCCCTGGAGCACTTTTGAGAGCGCCCACTTGCTCTGGAGAATTTTTCAGAGCGCCCACTTGCTCTGGGGCACTTTGCGGAACGCCCAAACACGCACGGCCACTCTGAGCTGGTTGTAAAGTGGTCCGTTCTGGTTGTAAAGTGGTCCGTTCTGGTTGTGAGGTGGTCCGTTCTGGTTGCGCAGTGGGCCGTTCTGGTTGCAAAGTGGACGTTCTCGCTGCAAAACCATACTTTCCAATCCTATGTTGGTTGTAAAGTAACCCATCTGTTTGTAAAGTGGTTGTTCTGGTTGTAAAGAGACCGAATTCCCCCCCCCCCCTCCCCCGACCACCCCCCGGCGCCCACCCGCTCACCCGCCACGCTCGTTGCTGGCGCGCCAGCGCAGTCGGGCGCTGGGCCCACGCGCTGCCGTTGCAGCCCGTGCCGCGGGGCAGCGCCAGCGTCGCGGGCCATCGCCGCTCCCCAGACCTCACCCAGTGCGTCATCTCCCGCGTCGTGGCGCCGAGAGCCCGCGCCTGCTCCGCGACCGCGCGGTCCTCACGCGCGCCTCAATGGGACTGACCCATCCAGCCACCGCTTGTGGCGACCTGCGCGCGGCATTGCCGCCCCCTCTGGCAGCTCGGCCGCTCGGGGCTTGCGCGCTTCTGCCGGCGCGGGGGGGGTGCTTTCTCAACCGACGGCTCGCGGGGTTGCGGGGCAGCGGTGCGCTGCGCGGCCTAGCCCAGGGCCTCGCAACCGACTGGGCGCGCCAGTTTGGGTCGGCCGCTTCGCCGCGCCTGCGCCGATGCGTCGGGGCCCAATCCACGGGCGGTCGCATGCGCCAAGGCGAATGTCCGCGGCGCCAAGGCGATAGCGGAGGTAGCGGGGCTGCAGCGGTAAGTGTGGCGGTAGCAGGGTTGCGGTGGAAATTGCAGTCGAAGGGGTTCAATACGAGGCCGTTGGTGAAGACCCCGACCACCGTCTTGAACATGGCGGTGACCGCGGAGGTGGACACGCCCCAGTAGGTAGACATGGAAGTAAGGCACGTCAAAGGAGAACGCGCCCAGCGGGAATGGAAACCGCTCAAAGGCATCGCTGGGGCCTGCGCAGAGCGTTCAGGCGCTCGGGCTCCGGAGCGCCCACGTGCTCTGGAGCACTTTTCAGAGCGTCCGCGCGCCCTGGAGCACTTTTGAGAGCGCCCACTTGCTCTGGAGAATTTTTCAGAGCGCCCACTTGCTCTGGGGCACTTTGCGGAACGCCCAAACACGCACGGCCACTCTGAGCTGGTTGTAAAGTGGTCCGTTCTGGTTGTAAAGTGGTCCGTTCTGGTTGTGAAGTGGTCCGTTCTGGTTGTGCAGTGGGCCGTTCTGGTTGCAAAGTGGACGTTCTCGCTGCAAAACCATACTTTCCAATCCTATGTTGGTTGTAAAGTAACCCATCTGGTTGTAAAGTGGTTGTTCTGGTTGTAAAGAGACCGAATTCCCCCCCCCCCCCTCCCCCGACCACCCCCCGGCGCCCACCCGCTCACCCGCCACGCTCGTTGCTGGCGCGCCAGCGCAGTCGGGCGCTGGGCCCACGCGCTGCCGTTGCAGCCCGTGCCGCGGGGCAGCGCCAGCGTCGCGGGCCATCGCCGCTCCCCAGACCTCACCCAGTGCGTCATTTCCCGCGTCGTGGCGCCGAGAGCCCGCGCCTGCTCCGCGACCGCGCGGTCCTCACGCGCGCCTCAATGGGACTGACCCATCCAGCCACCGCTTGTGGCGACCTGCGCGCGGCATTGCCGCCCCCTCTGGCAGCTCGGCCGCTCGGGGCTTGCGCGCTTCTGCCGGCGCGGGGGGGGTGCTTTCTCAACCGACGGCTCGCGGGGTTGCGGGGCAGCGGTGCGCTGCGCGGCCTAGCCCAGGGCCTCGCAACCGACTGGGCGCGCCAGTTTGGGTCGGCCGCTTCGCCGCGCCTGCGCCGATGCGTCGGGGCCCAATCCACGGGCGGTCGCATGCGCCAAGGCGAATGTCCGCGGCGCCAAGGCGATAGCTCCAGTTTGAAAACGACCCGCCTCCCATCCCTGTAACTGTAGGACATCTCAAGCCTCAGGGCCATGCATTGCGAGGGAATCTCCAGCGAAAGCCCCATTTCGAGAAGGAACCGCCATCCATCTGTGTAACTTCTGCGCACTTTTAAGGCGAATATGTCCGCGGCGCCAAGGCGAGTTACCGATTTTGGAAACTACCTCCCTCCATCCCCGTAATTGTTGCGAACGTTGAGAACTAATGTCCGCGGCGCCAAGGCGAGAGCTCCCCTGCCGCGTGCCGAGTAGAGTTGGTCATGTGCTTTTTGCTCCCCAGGCGTTGCCATGTGTCGAGTAAAGAAGGATGCCGTTGCTGCCCCTCCGCGGCTTCGCCACGCCGCATTCCGGTTCGCCAGTGTCCAGGGCCCCTCAGTCACCTCGCAGGGCCCCAGGTTGCGTTTCGGACAAGCACCCGTCAGTTGCCATCTTTTTTTTTTTATATTAAAAAACCGTTGTGTATTTCGCACTTCGGAGGGATCTCGCGCCCCTCTGCTGTCCGCCAGAGACGATGGTTAAGAAGATGACTGGGAGTCGTTTTTCGGAGGAGAAGTTCTATAAGTCGCAGTGCCACAAGTCCGCGAGCCCCCTGGTCCTGAGCCGCAGAATATCGCATTCTGCGGGCGCGGATGCGTGCACCGTCATGGCTTGCATGTCAGCGATCAAGGCGACCATCATCGCCGAGCTGGACGAGAACGGCTCCGTCGTCCTTCCAGGCATCGGGCTCTTCGAGAAGAAGGTGCAGCACGCGACATTAGGGGGGGTGCGCAACGTCTTTGGTAAATGGGTAGCAGTGTCGCCGAAACCTTTGGAAGTACATATTCGGTTCAAGCCGTTCAGCGAGTTGGAGGACGTGCTGAAGGACAAGCTCGCTCACAAGTTTCCTCGAGGGAGTCCAGCTCCAGCAGATCCACCAGGAATCCGCGCTCGTGACATCGGTACAGATACACATGCAACGGGATCCGACTCATCCAGCCTCTCCAAGGACGGCGGCGACATCGACCCGACCACCACCTTGAGGGGCGAGGTAAATGACGCATCGATCCCGCCGACGGCGTTCTACCCCGAGGACATGGCAGCCGCGGGCCTCCCCAACGGAGAGTTGCCCGAGCACCCGGCCAGCGCCGCACGAGGCCCTCGACGCCTCCTCCGAGGCAGCCTCGTCAGTGAGAGGCAGTAGTCTAAGCCAGTTTCGCTCTCCATATCAACCTGTGTGCGAGGCAGTCGAGCCAGCGCGCTCTCCACGTCAGCCGGCGCGCTCGGCAGGTAGCCAGCGCGTGCATTCATATTTGCGCGGAGGTGCTCGCCATCAGAGTTGTGCGGAGGCCGCCTCTCGAAGTAAACGTTGTGCCGAGGCAGGCCTGTCGAAGTGGACGTTGCGCGCTCCTCCTCGTGCCCAGTCTCGCCCCATGCATCGCCCGTCCACCGTCTAAGCACGAGGTTTCAGGTCAAGTGGCTCTGCCAGGGGTGTGCCCAGGATGCAGGGGGGCCTTGCCAGGGGTGTGTGTGCGTGTGTGTGTGTGGGGGGGGGGGGGCAGGGTTCACGCCACTTGCTAAGGGGGAGGCCCACCCCCCTGGCGGGGCCTTGCCAAGGGAGATGGCGGGAGGGAGGGCGGGGTGTTCCAATTCACGGTGGGGCCCAGAATTGAAAATTTATTCAGGAGGCTTCGCCATTCCGCCGACCCCCAGAACAAGGAATAGGTTCACGGTTGAATCCAAGATAGCAGGGACGCCTTCGTGCAGTATCTACTTAGCCTTCGGCGCATCCCGCCACCGTGCCGGAGTTGTGGTTGCGCGGCCTGTTGGATGGTCGTTGGGATCTCAGAGGGTTCTCGCGGAGCTCTTGGAAGCAAGTTCGAAGTCTCTCGGGGGCAGTCCGAGGGCTTCTTGGACCCCTGGTGCTACTTTAGGGCCTCGTGGGTGCTTCTGTCGGGCCTCTTAGGGGCGTCTTGGGGCCGCTTGGGGCCCCCCTGGGGGCCTTCTTGGGGCGGGCGGCTTTAATTTGCATGTCGGTCCTCCTCTTGGGTTACCTTGGGGCTTCTTGGGGCTTTATTGGCCTTCCTTGTCCTCCCCCTTTCCCCTCCCATTGTCCCCCTTCCCCCCTCCGCTTCTTCCTCTTCCTCCTCCTCCTCCTCCTCCTCTTATTCTGACTGGGGTGACAGTGCTGCAACATGGGTCGAACGCAGGCCACGCCCTAGGCCTCGCCTGTAGGGGCGAACTGGGTTGAACCTAGGCCACGCCCTGGGCCTTGCCTGTAGAGGCAAAATGGGTCGAGCCCAGGCCGCGCCCTAGGCCTTGCCTGTCGAGGCCAAATGGGCCGACATCAGGCCACGCCCTAGGCCTTACAAAAGCACAGTCGTTCTTTTTCTGTTTTGTATTACGGCCCGTTGTACATCATCATCCTGGACATCATCGTTAATTTCAGCATGCTGCTGTCCGATTGCACGTTGTGGTGCTCGCAAGCTCTGCCGTGCTCGCACGTGGTGCGCGTGCGGCTTACGCGTGCGTGAGCACCGATCATTCGCCCCCCCCCCCCATCCGTCTTTCGCGAGAGCCTTCAGAGGGCCTCAAGTGACCCAAGTGGCCCCCGCTCGGGCCCACGGGGCTCGCAGGGGGGCCCCAGTTGGCCTGCCTAGAGGCGCCCATCCTGCGGCCCGCGGGTCAACGAAAACGCCCCAATACAGCTTAATTTGCACTGGGGATGGCCGCGCGTCTGGGTTGAGGGCCGCCAAAATGCCAACGGCCCCAGAGGGCCACGAGCTTGGAGGGCCCAGAGGATCGCGGCAGGCCCCTGGCGACTTCCCGACTCATGGAGGGCGTCGTATTAAGCCCCGACGCCACGTGCCTGGGTTCAGGGCCTCTCGGTCCGGGTACAACTGGTGCCGTCCACGTATTCGCGCGAAGCCGTTTTGGCTCCAAAGTTGCAGTCTTTGCACCGAGCGGGTGCACATCAACGTTTGTTGTCCTTGCACTTAACTTTGTGCTGCGCATGGTCCGCGGCGCCGCCAAGGAGGCGGACGAGGCGGGCCCTGTGTCTGATTCTTCGGAAGGACCGCGACGCGAACTCAAACGGCCGCGCCGCGGCGGTGCGGGCCAGGGCAGGGGCGGCCCAGGCAAGACCCAGCAGCCGAAGGGGGCGGCGGCGGGCAAGAAGAGAAGCTGCGCTGCGGCGTCAGCACGGGCGTCTTTCTCCGCAGGCATAGGCCCGCTGCTGATCAGGGAGAAGAGCGCCACGCCCCGTGGGAAGGCGAAGGTCGGGATGTGTGGCTACTGCGACGCAGTGGAGAGCGATGCCCACCCATTTCCAGATGTGAAGATGCCTGGGGAGCCGTTTGCGTTCTCTTCCACGGGTGCAGCTACCACTTCAAGGGGCACGTGCGTGGTCAGTGGCACTTCGACTTCACCCGGGCGGCGTTGTGCGCGAAGACAGCGCCAGATCAGGATGCCAGCGCTGCTTTCGAGACGAGCTGCGAGATCGCATCTGGCCGTGCCCCGGCGGCCTCCAGCCCCCGCGACGTGGCCCTCAAGACGGGCACGTGGTTCACGGTGTTCTCGGACTGCATGATTATCAACGAACAGCAGTGCAAGAGGGATTTCCTCCCCAAGGGCGCCAGTGCGCTGACTCCTACTGACGCAGGCGAGCGGACCACCAGCATCAACGACGAGCACCATGCCGAGGAAGTGAGCGGCGTTTTGGTGATCGACCCCGACCAGCCGCACACGAAGGTGCGCAAGTGGTCGAGCACGTACGAGTCTCATTCGGAATGGTCTCCCCAAGCCAGCAACTACTGCCGCGATGGGCAGGGGGCGAGCGCCTCGGACGCGATGGAGAAGCTCATGAGGCAGATGTTGCCGACGACCTTGCGCGGGCACGTGGGCGTCCCCACTGTGGCGGAGGTGCAGCAACGAGCAGTCGGGGCCTCGGAGGCCAATGGCTTGGTGGCCGAGCAGCCCCTAGACGTGACGCCGCACAAGCCTGACAAGGCGCCCGGGGGGAGCGTGGCCGAGCGGCTGGAGGCTTTATGCGACGGCTCGCCCGGGGGCGGGGGCCTCGATGGCGCTGGCAGTGCGACGCCGCCTGGCGCCAGCAGCGGCAGGATCGCTGCACTTCTGGACAGCAGCACGCCACCGCCAGAGGGCTCTGACATGGGCAGCGACGTGGGTGACGCGGAGACGGTGCGCAGCAGCGGTACAGCAGCGGGCGCGGGCATTAGGCGCGGGAGGAGTTCGGCCAAATTGGACACGCCGCTCGATGACCCCGACAAGGAACGCGTCAAAGAGCTGGAGATGTCGATTTCACTCGCCACGCTGCTGGACAAGGGTCAAGATCACAAGTTGGGGGACAAGATCTATGCCTTGAAGCGGTTCAAGCCGCGCAGCGGGGGAACGGTTGGCAATGCGCACGGCAAGCTGCTCGACATCGTCGAGACTTGTGTGCTCGTCGGCGGCAGTGCCGTGGACACAATGAAGAGGGACGCGAGGGCCAACTTGTTGAAGAAGCTGACGAATGCCAAGACCTCCGATGCCTACAAGTTCAAGCTGAAGCTCGTCGGGGCAGCCGTGCGCGAGGCGACGTCGGTGTCTGAGAAGGTCAACATTCTCATTCCATGGAGTGGGTCATCTGTGACAGGCGCCCACGGCGAGTTTTCACTGTTCCAGCCCCTTCTCTCCGAAGTGGGGCCCCCCATCGGCAAGAGGGCCCAGGTCTGCCAGGAGTTCATCCTCAACTACGTCGTGCTTCAGCGTTGCAACTTCGACAAGCTGGGGCAGTTGGCCGATGCCATCACCGAGCACGTCGGAACGAAGGAGCTCCGCGACGAGGTGCCCGAGGATATGCAGCCAATTGCGCAGGCCCTCTACACTTTCGCGGAGAGCATGAAGGTGCTGCTGGACCCGCCCCTTGGAGCGCTGAAGAGGTGCCCTGCCAGAGGCGATGTCCGTAGATTCCTCCGCGAGGAATGGGGGGGCGAGGACTGGAGGAACGTGGTCTTCACGTTCAGCGATACCTTGAAGGAGTGCGTGTCCGAGTACAACAGGGCGTACCACACGGACGTCAAGCATGGCGAGACCTTCAGTTTGTACGAGGCGTTGCTGTCTGACACGGCCACCACTACCCCCGCCAACTTCGAGGTCATATTTGGTGGACCTGGCGAGTGGGGCGGGCAGCTCCGCAAGGGCGGGGCGACCAGTCTGGCGAAGCAGACCGGCAGCTCGTTGGAGCAGCGGGCCCAAGCGCGCATGGCCACAGGCGCCGAGGCGCCCCAGATCAGCGAGGACCCTGCCAAGCTGGCGACCATGGAGATCCAGTTCACAGACTTCACTGCCTAGGCCGTCGACTTCAGAGGGATCGACGCGACTTGCATCGAGAAGCTGAAAGACGTAGCCGTCAAGCTCCGCACCCTTGCGGGCAGCCTTGCGTCAGCGGCCGAGGAGAAGGGTCTCTTGCGCGCCTGCGCCTCCCTGGGCGTCGAGATGCCAGAGACGATTGCGAAGGTGCGCGACGCTCGTCAGAAGTGCATTGGGACGAAGTTCGCCAAGGCAGATACGGTCAAGAAGCTCATGACGTGCATCGATCAGTGCACCTTGCAATGCGCCAACTGGCTCGTCAAGATCGCTCCCGGACAAGTTGTGGATTGCCCCTTCGATGATATCATGAAGGCCTCGGGCTCGGGCATCTCCCTCGTTGAGCACGTCGAGCCCTCCGCGATTCAGCGCGGGAAGTTGATGGGCGACAAGATTCGCCCCAGCGGGCTCTTCCAGTTCGGCAAGGCGCTCAAGGCCCTCAAGGACTACGAGGCGACCGCCGACGATTTCGACTTTGGGGGCGGCCCGTCTGCGGCTGAGGAGGCAGCGAGTGGACGCGCAATGCCGACTGCTGCTGCGATGGTTTGTGTGTGTTTGTTGGTTGGGTGTGTGTGGCCTGAGGGCCTCGATGGAGGGGTGCACGCAGCAGGGTAGGTGCTTGCGACGATGGGGGGCCGTTTGGGGCACGGGGGGGCGCGTGTGCCCCCGTGTAGTTCGCAGCACAGTCGTTCGCATGCGCGCGCCCACTCGCGTCGCCCAGGCATGGGTTGAGCTGGAGGCGGCCGTTGGGGTGTTCAGGGAGACGGTCGCGCCGAAGGAGGTTGCCGAGCAGCCGACGGAGAAGGCCGACGACGACGAGGCCAAGGCAGACAACGTGGATCAGGGCGGCGAGTGCATTCACGTCGGCCCCCGCGTTGGGCGCTTCGCGCACTTGAGCAACCATTTCGACGCCATGCTGAACATGTGCTTTGAGAAGTTTGCTGCTTTCCCGCGTGCCTTCTGGACCTCATTGATGAAGCCCGTCAACGAGAAGCTCACGGAGCTCGGCTCGATCGCTGGCGGCGGCCTCCAGGGCAATAAGAAGCACTGGGCCGAGGACATGCGCGAGAAGCAGACGCTGGGCCCCATGCTGGCCCACGCCTCCAAGACGTCGTTCAGGCAGAAGGGCATGTCGGCGAAGGTCAGCAAGCTCGTGACCAGCATCAAGGCGGCACCGCACGACTCCAAGGATGCCGCCGAGCTGCGCGGGGCAACGGAGGCGCGCGAGGCCATGCAGAAGGTGCTCGCTTGTGAGCAGCGCCGCTCGTCATCAATGTTGTGGGAGGCGCAGGCCCTTCAGATTCTGAAGATGGATGCGACGGACGAGGGCCTTGCCGACAAGCTGAGCGCCGTGCGCGACGCAGTGCGCGACGCCGAGGAGTTCGGCGAGACCGGCGTGAGCGAGGTCATCCTGAAGGCGGTGTCGGGCCGCTTGACGCAGGTGCTGAACAAGTAGTGCAGTGGGTGCTGCTGCGGCCAGCAGCAGCAGCATCAGTCGCGCACCCAGCTGCGCCACCAGCACCAGCGCCACCAGACCAGCACCAGTCGTCCCGCGACGGCGACGTTCCCGCGTGGTGGAGGGAAGAGGCCTCCTTCGGCCTCCACCTCGGCCCCCCACCTCCATCCGTTGCTGTCGCCTTTCGGCTTTGCTCCGCCGCCTTGAAGCCATCTTGAACCTTCTTGAGGTGGGTCTTGAAGGTCTGGGATCCATCTCGGCAGGTCTCGAGGGTCTTCCGAGGCCGCCTTGAAGCCATCTTGGGCTGCCGCGAGGGTCTTCTTGGGCCGTCTTGAAGCCATCTTGAGCCATCCTGGGGTGGGTCTTGGAGGTCTTGGAGACATCTCGGGAGTTCTCGGGGGTCTTCCCAGGCCGTCTTGCAGCCACCTTGGGCCGTCGTGTGGCCAGCTTGGGTTGCATTGGAGCAATATTGGGGCCATCGTTGGTCGTCTTGAGGCCGCATTGGGCGATCTTGGGGGCGATGTGCCTAGCAGTGTATTGGTGTAGTTGTGTAGACTCGTCGGCTGCCGCCTGCGCCGCCGCAACCCCTAGCCATGACATCCGGGTGTTAAGTTAAGCTTCGGCCAGCAGCGATCTGATCCACGACAAGAGATCCTCCATCATTTCCCCCTCCCTCCTCTCTCTCCCCCCCCTTCTCCTTCCTTTCCCTCCTCCTCTCTCCCTCCTCCCCTGTCCTTCCCTTCCATCCCCCCCCCCCCTCGCTCCTTCCACCCTCCCCTCCATCCCTCCTCGCCCCATGCCCTTGCTTGCATTATCCCTCCTACTCCCTCCTCCTCCTTGTCTCTGCCCCTCCTCGCCCGTCGCGCGTTTCCTCATTCCCTCTTTGCCTTTCCTCTCCAGACCTCGCCGTCCCAGCTCCCCCAACTCCCCCTCCGTCGAGATCCTCTGCGCCCCCATGGTCTCGAGTCGTTTCCGCTGCCGCCTCCCCCCCCCCCCGCCCCGCGGGGGCAGCGGTTGGTGGTTTGGTGGCCGCGCCCCCCATTGGGTTTTCATGGCGCAGAGGGCGCGCGGAAGGCTAACCGAAAATGATTGATCGACTTGGTTTTTGCGCCAAGCGGTACGAGAAACAAGCCATGGGGCTTCGATGCGGCAACGTTGTAGCCGCATCGAACCCCCATGGCTTGTTTCCCGTATCGCTTAGCGCAAAACGCCCAATCGATCAATTATGTTCAGTTCGCCTTCCGCGCCCCTCCGCGCCATGAAAACCCCATGGGGGGTGCGGCCGCCAAACCCCCATCAACCGCAGACCCTCTACCTGGGCCCGACTCGAACTTTCAAGGAGAGGCCCAAGATGATATTGCCTTATTCTATATTAAAGGCAACTACTCACTTGCAGATCACTTCGCAGGATTGGGAAAGAGAGCGCACGGCCTGCCGCAGAATACGATAGACATCTACACTCAGGCTCTAGCCGGATACGAGAATTTAGTTATAGGAGCCTGTGCCGCTTTACATGCGCGGCCGAAACCAAAGGATATTTTCGGGCAACTGGCCAGGCCAAGGAAGGCCCGCCGCCCCAGGTCCCAGGGGAAACCTCACCATCCTGTCTGGGACGGCAAAGCTTTCCGCTGCCGTATTTGTCTCCGCAGATGTCCCAGGCAGAGTACGTTTGCATGTGAAGCCCTAGCCCCGACCCTAGCAGAGCTACTGCGCACGGGTGGAGGGAGTGGGCACCAACTTCACTCAGCTCGAATTCAAGGAAGCGAGCTGCCTGTCATTTTCTGCGTTCTCTGTGGAAGGTTTGCTACACAGCAAACTAACGGCCTGCTGGAGAATTGCCCCCGCCCAAAGAAGTCAGGGGAAAGGAACAAGCTCTTCAGAGGCCTCTTGTCAGGCACTCCCCTGTTGTTGGGCCCTGCTTTCCCTCTCTCGTTCCTTTGGTCCTCTCCTGGCCCCCCTTCTTCCCCTGGGCCTCAACCTCAGGAGAGCAGCCGCCAGCCTCCACGGGAGGCCAGAGAGATGGATGCGAGTGCTGCTGCCCCTGCAGAAAGCCAGGAGCAGCCACTTCTCCTGCCCACTCAAGATGTGCAGGCCCCTCCAGAGGAGGAAAACTTAGCCCTCCCGCGGCCTGCTGCCCGTGCAAGCTCTGCTGAGCCGTCGGGCCCCGTTTAGCTTTCTGGTCCTTGCGGGGCCCGCGTCCGCCTTTGCCGAGGTTCCTCCTCTCTGCGGCCCGTGGCCAGCCCAGGCCAGGTCAGGTAGCGGCAGCCCGTGACTTTGAGCTCAAAGGATGGGGGAGTGGGGAAGGGAATGCCTTTTCGGCTGCCGCTACCGATCACTGTTTTTGTTTGCCTTGGGAGTGGCGGCACTCCTGTCAAGGGGCTTGTGCAAAGGCCTAGCCGTATGATCACCCTGGTCAAGTCTTGAAGGTCTTGAAGGAGAGAGAATGCGAAGAATGAAGCGGAGGAGGAGGGGGATGAGGAGGAGCAGGAGGAGAAGATAATGAGGGGCATGACGAGGAGAAGGTCTGTCACGGGGCTATCCGGCGGCTTCCGGGAGGTTTTTTGATGCCGCTTGGGGGCTTCTTGGGGGCTTCTGGTGGACGTATTGGAGGCCTCTCGGGGACTGTTGGGGGCGCCTTTGGGGCCTCTGGGGGGCTTTGGGGGCCATCGTGAGGGGAAAGGCTCGACTTGTCAGTTCGTATTCCTTGTCTTAAGTTTGTTTGGTGCCCTCCTGGGGTTCCTTTGGGCCGTCCTGGGGGTCCTTGGGGCCGTCTTAGGGCCCGCGTGGGCCTTCGTGGTGGTCTTTTGGCGATCTCGTGGACCGTCTTTTGACGATTTTCGAGACCCCTCGGGCCGCTGTACATGCTCTGAAGACGAACAAGGCGATTGTGCTAAAACAGTTATACGTCTTCCAAAGGGGAAGGGGCGATTGTGCCCTCTCGGGGCCTTCTCTGCGAGCCTCTGGTAACGCTCTTGGGCCGTCTTGGGAGCCTCGTGGTCTGTCGTGAATCCATCTTGGACCGTCGACGGGCTACGCCAGGCGGTCTCGACGCTCTCTTGGACTCTGGGGGCGTTTTGTCTGGGCGCTCTGGGGCCGTCTTGGAGCTGTTGGGAGGATCCAGAAGTCCCAGGGGTTCGCTGACGAGCTCGTCCCCGCCCCCCCCAGAATTGGATGTTGGACCCCAGGAGAGGGCGACAGGGCAAGCTAGGTGCGCTAGCGTCACACCTGACGTCGTAACCCTCCCTCCCATCCCTTACCATGGCGTAGACCTCCTATCTACTCGCAGAGTCGGATGTCGAGCAGGGCAATGATCCCAAGATGGTACGCGATGGATGGAAATGCATGGCGGAAAACGCGGCAGAGCATAGCATGTCAGAGCATGACGTGGCATTGCGTAGTGCAGCATTGCATCACAAAGTATAACAACGCAAACCATGGTATCGCACAGCGGTGCACATTACAGCATCGCATTGCATGCCGTGGCATGACACTGGATGATTTGGAGGGTAAGCGGCCCATCTACGAGAGGACAGGGCCTGTCTGGAATGCCAGCTCTATGTCCTCCGCAACTGTGCTTGCCCGGTGTGTGAGCTTTCGAATGCCAAGTGCCGCCCGGAGGCGCGGGAACGAGACCAGCGCTGCAGCGGGAGCACGATTTCGAACGACCGAGGCGCGGAAATGAGGGCGGCGCTGCAGCGGGAACACCATTTGTGGAAGAACAGCAGGAAACGACCGGATTGAAGCAACATAGGAAGCAACAGCAAGTCATGAAATCTTGCGTGTAGGAAACAGTTCGCGGAGAGGACGGGGAAGACTCTGGACAGAGTCAGGGGAGAGAGGGGATTATCATTCATATTGTGTAATTGTGGATGGGGGACACCCAATCACCTCACACTCCCGTTCACCCCCGGTAAGCGGGGGTCGGCGGATTTGCACTAAGCAGGTTCCGGGCACAATGGTCTGCATACCTCTGTGCATGGCTCTGCGGCTCGCATGAGACTGGGCTACGCGGTCCGCAGTAAAGCTAGAGGACCACAGCCTTGCAGGGCTCCCTCCTGAAGTTCTCGGGGCCAGTGTGGACCACCCAGTGTGACACCGCCGACAGGTTTCGGCACGAACGTTCAGAGCAACCCTTAGTTCTGGATGAGCACACCCTTACAGTCTTCGTGCCTGGGGTCTCCACCTTGGAATGGCGCTCGTGCAGGGTATAGTTCGATGGGGCCTTGGGATCTCGGCGAAGGGGCTCGTGCTCGTAGCCCGCGTCTTGGTGGTCTTGCTTCGATCGCCCACTGGAATTTGTCGGGCCTCCCTTCGGCGCGCTTCCTAGACTGCCCAAGGCCGCCCCGACCCCCCCCCCACGCGACAGCAGTCAAGCAGCACGCGGGGTCACAGTGGAAACCCATGCCAAGAAACACCCCGCTTGCCTCCAGGGTGCCCGGGCTTCTTGGGCGTCGATGATGTTTGCCATGGAAAGCGCGACGTTCCCTCACCAAAAACCAATGCACGCCTTGGGGTATTAGGGTGGAGTTTCTTGTGGAAGTTTCCCTGGTGTCGAGCCCCTATTGTCACAACGAGGCTGATCTCGTGAAGGTGTGTCTGTACGAAGCACATCCGTTCCTTTCCAGCTCTGTGCGTTCTTCGGAGTGCGTTTCATAGCTGCCCCGAAGGGACCTCCTTAATTGCTACTTGTTCTTTCCGTCCTTCGGTTCCGCCAGCGCAGAGCTAGCCGAAACCAACGAAAGTACACTTTGATTTGCCCATAGCGGACACTTGCGTTGGCCCACGGCCATCTTGGGCTCGAGCTGTTTTCCATCAGGGGAAGCAGTACAGGACACACATCCTTTGGTCACCGCAGCGCCTATTTCCGTACAAGTTCGGAACGGACTGATGATCGCGCCAGTGAAGCTCGCCTTCGCGCTCCTCGTAGCCGCCATGGCACATGAGGATGACGTCGATTCCAACCTTATGGAGTTGGCCGCGGTGGGCCAGACGCAGCTTGTGACGAACAAGAGTTCCATCACGTGCTACTTTACAATCGACAACTTTGTATACGGTGAATATTTGGGCAGCACTGCCCTCAGCACCAGCGGAGATTGGAACAATTGGATGGCAACCAAGACTGTCACGTTCACCCCTGATGGGAATTACTTGACAATTTCTGGTAACGACCAGGAGGGAACTATGTGCACGACTGGTGGTTTCGCTATCCAGTGCACCAATGGTGTGAATGGGAACTCAGGCTGGCAGGTTTACAGCAGCGACAGCACCATTGATTACAGTCACCAAACGGATGGTGGGAGTTCGTGGTACTATCCTGGCCGTTCGGCAAGCGGATTTTTCTTGCCCTAAAATAAAGGGTCGCCCAAAATCGGAGGTTGCTCGCAGCACGGAGCTTATCGATGCAACTTCGGGGGGGCGACACCCAACCCGACGCCCTACCCAACACCTTTCCCGACGCCCTACCCGACGCCCTACCCGACGCCTTTCCCGACGGCCTACCCGACGCCATTACCGACGGCCTACCCGTCGCCGTTCCCGACGCCCTACCCGACGGCCTACCCGACGCCATTCCCGACGGCCTACCCGACGCCGTTCCCGACGCCCTACCCGACGCCCTACCCGACGCCGTTTCCTACGCCTTTCCCGACGGCCTACCCGACGCCATTCCCGACGGCCTACCCGACGCCGTTCCTTACGCCTTTCCCGACGGCCTACCCGACGCCATTCCCGACGGCCTACCCGACGCCGTTCCCGACGGCCTACCCGACGCCCTCGACCCGACGCCCTACCCGACGCCTTTCCCGAACGCCCTACCCGGACGTTCCCATTCCCGACGGCCTACCCTACCCGACGCCGTTCCTCGACCGTACCCGACGCCCTACCCGACCCTACCCGACGCCTTCCCGACGCCGTACCCGACGCCTAACCCGACGGCCTACCCGACGCCTTCCCGACGCCTTCCCGACGGCCTACCCGACGCCATTCCCGACGGCCTACCCGACGCCGTTCCCGACGCCTTTCCCGACGGCCTACCCGACGCCATTCCCGACGGCCTACCCGACGCCGTTCCCGACGCCCTACCCGACGCCTTTCCCGACGGCCTACCCGACGCCGTTCCCGACGGCCTACCCGACGCCGTTCCCGACGCCTTCCCCGACGGCCTACCCGACGCCATTCCCGACGGCCTACCCGACGCCGTTCCCGACGCCTTTCCCGACGGCCTACCCGACGCTTTTCCCGACGGCCTACCCGACGCCGTTCCCGACGGCCTTCCCGACGCTTTTCCCGACGCCCAGCCCGACGCCCAGCCCGACAGCCTCCCCCACAGCATACCCGACGCCTTCCCGACGCCCAGCCCGACGCCCAGCCCGACGTATCCCCAGGGTTGGCCGACGCCGCAGCCGACGTTTCCCCCCACGGCTCCCGCGGCCGGGTCCGCTGGAGGCGTGGCTGCCACTGGCGACCCCCACCTCCAAAACGTTCATGGCGAGCGGTTCGATCTGATGAAGGCGGGCATTCACGTTCTGATAAACATCCCTCGTGGAATGAGCGCTGACAGCGCATTGCTTCGGTTGCAGGCCGACGCGCGCCGATTGGGTGGGCATTGTGCGGACATGTACTTCCAAGCGGTGAACGTTACAGGGGCATGGGCCGAGGTCAAACAAGTTGGAGGGTATCACTACAGCGTTTCGCAAAGTTCAGCCAAGACCCCAGAGTGGCTCTCATTCGGACCAGTCCAGTTGAAAGTCGTTCGTGGACACACTGACAGCGGTTTCCTGTATCTGAACGTGTATGTGAAGCACTTAGGGCGAGCAGGCTTTGCCGTCGGAGGTCTGTTGGGGGAGGACGACCATGAAGACGTCATCAGTCCTCCTGATGGGTGCGCGACGTATACGGAGCTCCAGAAGTCTGCGTACGTGGACGATCTTAGTATTTCCATGACGTCTGTTGGAATCGCGTCGTTGGCTTGATAGCGTCGGCGATTCTCTGCTGACGGCGATAGGAGCTCTGCGCTGAAACCTTTTGTCCTGTTCGCCACTTCTGAACAGGAGCCACTTTCGGACAATTGGCTTACGCCTTGCCGCCGGCCCCCCCAGAGAGAGAGAGAGAGAGAGAGCCTGCGCCGCTCGTGGAAGAAGCTGCAGTTTGCAGGTGGGGGCACAGGTGGATCAGGAGGAGGGGGAGGAGGAGGAGGAGGAGGAGGAGGAGGAGGAGGAGGAGGAGGAGGAGGGTAAGGAGGAAGAGGAGGAGGAGGAGGAGGAGGAGGAGGAGGGGGAGGGGGAGGAGAGGGAGGAGGAAAAGGAGGGAGGAGGAGGAGGAGAGGGAGGTTGAGGGGGAGGAGGAGGGGGAAGAGGAGGAGGAGGGGGAAGACGAGGAGAAGAGAATGATGGCACGGCGCTGTTCGGAGGCTTCTTCGAAGCTAGCAAGGGGGGGTCTGTTGGGACGAAGAGCGGAGAATGAGGGGCAGGAGGAGGATGAGGCTTGTCATGGTAATGTTTGCAGGCTTCTTCGAAGCTAGCAGGGGTGGTTTGTTGGGCTGTTGCACGGGGCCGCTGGAGGGTTGGTTGGAGTTCTCCAGTGTGAGGGTCTCTTGGGATGCCTCTCAGTGGCCTTTTGGAGAGCTGTTGGGTGCATGGGGGGGAGGAGGGGGAGGAGGAGGAGGAGGAGGAGGAGGAGGAGGAGGAGGTGGAGAATGAGAGAGAATGCGAATAATGAAGCGGAGGAGGAGGGGGATGAGGAGGAGGAGGAGGAGGAGGAGAAGATAATGAGGGGCAGGACGAGGATAAGGTCACGTAGCTATTCGGGGGCTTCCGGGAGGCGTTTTGATGCCTCTTGGGGGCTTCTTGGGGGCTTCTGGTGGACGTCTTGGAGGCCTCTTGGGGACTGTTGGGGGCGCCTTTGGAGCCTCTGGGGGACTTCGGGGGCCATCTTGAGGGGAAAGGCTCGAAATGTCAGTTCGTATTCCTTGTCTTGAGTTTGTTCGGTGCCCTCCTGGGACTCCCTTGGGCCGTCCTGGGGGTACTTGGGGCCGTCTTAGGGCCCGCGTGGGCCTTCGTGGTGGTCTTTTGGGGATCTCGTGGACCGTCTTCTCACGATTTTCGAGACACCTCGGGCCGCTGTACACGCTCTGACGACGAACAAGGCGAGTGTGCTGAAACAGTTATGCGTTTTCCAAAGGGGAAGGGGCGATTGTGCCCTCTCGGGGTTTTCTCTGCGAGCCTCTGGTAACGCTCTTGGGCCGTCTTGGGAGCCTCGTGGTCTGTCGTGAATCCATCCTGGACCGTCGACGGGCTACCCCAGGCGGTCTCGACGCTCTCTTGGACTCTGGGGGCGTTTTGTCTGGGCGCTCTGGGGCCGTCTTGGAGCTGTTGGGAGGATCCAGAAGTCCCAGGGGTTCGCTGACGAGCTCGTCCCCGCCTCCCCCAGAATTGGATTTTGGACCCCAGGAGAGGGCGACAGGGCAAGCTAGGTGCGCTAGCGTCACACCTGACGTCCTACCCCTTCCTCCCATCCCTTACCATGGCGTAGATCTCCTATCTACTCGCAGAGTCGGATGTCGAGCAGGGCAATGATCCCAAGAGGGTACGCGATGGATGGAAAAGCATGACGGAGAAGAGCACGGCAGAGCATAGCATGTCAGAGCATGGCGTGGTATTGCGTAGTGCAGCATTGCATCACAAAGTATAGCAACGCAAAGCATGGTATCGCACAGCGGTGCACATTACAGCATCGCATTGCATGCCGTGGCATGGCACTGGATGATTTGGAGGGTAAGCGGCCCGTCCACGAGAGGACAGGGCCTGTCTGGAATGCTAGCTCCATGTCCTCCGCAACTGTGCTTGCCCGGTGTGTGAGCTTTCGAATGCCAAGTGCCGCCCGGAGGCGCGGGAACGAGACCAGCGCTGCAGCGGGAGCACGATTTCGAACGACCGAGGCGCGGAAATGAGGGCGGAGCTGCAGCGGGAACACCATTGTGGAAAAACCAGGAACGACCGGATTGAAACAGCATGGGAAACAACAGCAAGTCATGAAATCTTGTGTGTAGGAAACAGTTCGCGGAGAGGACGGGGGAGACTTTGGACAGAGTCAGGGGAGAGGATATGATCATTCATATTGTGTAATTGTGGAGGGGGACACCCAATCACATCACACGCCCGTTCACCCCTGATAAGCGGGGGTCGGCGGATTTGTACTAAGCAGGTTCCGGGCACAATGGTCTGCAGACCTCTGTGCATGGCTCTGCGGCTCACATGAGACTGGGCTACGCGGTCCGCAGTAAAACTAGAGGACCACAGCCTTGCAGGGCTCCCTCCTGAAGTTCTCGGGGCCAGTGTGGACCACCCAGTGTGCGCCGACAGGTTTTGGCATGAAGGTTCAGGGCAACCCGTAGTTCTGGATGAGCACACCCTTACAGTCTTCGTGCCTGGGGTCTCCACCTTGGACTGGCGCTCGTGCAGGGTATAGTTCGATGGGGCCTCGGGATCTCGGCGAAGGGGCTCGCGTTCGGAGCACTTGGGCCTCCCTTCGGCGCGCTTCCCAGACAGCCCAAGGCCGCCCCGAACTTCCCCCCCGCCCTCGCGACAGCAGTCAAGCAGCACGCGGGGTCACAGTGGAAACCCATGCCAAGAGACACCCCGCTTGCCTCCGGGGTGCCCTGGTTTTCTTGGGCTTCGATGATTTTTTGCCATAGAAGGCGCGACGTTCCCTCACCAAAAACCAATGCACGCCTTGGGGTATTAGGGTTGAGTTTCTTGTGGAAGTTTCCCTGTTGTCGAGCCCCTACTGTCACAACGAGGCTGATCTCGTGGTGGTGTCCCGGGTGCCACCCTGCAAAGGTCGGCTCCATCTCTCTTGGAAGACTACGCCCGCGTCGTCTGTGGACCCAGGCCCAGCCAGGCCCACGGCGCCGAACGGACCGATCAGATCGTCTGTATGGTGCTTGTCCGGCAGCTTTTGCGTACACCCGCCGCCGCGTTGCGTAGGCACATGCCTCTGATTGTTTTCTCGTTATGTTCCGTCCTCTCTTTTCCCAGCGGCCAGCAGCAGGGGCGACGAAGTAAGCTCAGTATCAAACTCGTGGAGGCTCCGCTTCTGCCAACACTGTTCGAGAACTGGGAGGGCCAAGTCAGGGTGTTTTGCTTCATCATGCCCTCGACGACGAGGTCGAGTAGGAAGACGAGGGCGAGCAGAAGGGGCAGGAGGAGGCGGCGAGGAGGAGGCGGAGGAGGCAGAGGAGGAATAGGCCTACGTATATGGTATTGCAGGGCCTATCGGGCGAAGCACAGGTAGGCCTATGCGCAGGCTATGCATAGGCCTACCGTAGGCCAATGCACAACCAATGCACAGGAGATCCTTATCTAACATCGCCGCACTATGCACAGATGTGTTACCTCGAGAGCCCGAGTACGGCATGGGTTGCAAGATATTGAGGCTTCGGAAACGCGAGCGCGCGGCAATGGCCTCGGGAACGCGAGCGCGCCGTGATTTGAAAGGCATTGTGGTTTCGAAGGGGCAACCTTGCCCCAGGTGGTTTGAAACGGTTGTGTCCTCGTGAGCGCGAGCGCGCCAAAAATTGCAAGGAATGTACCACGTTGTTGTTGGCGCCGAAAGGGCGACCTCGTCGCTATCTGCAAGCGATTACGGCTTTGGGGACGGACGCAAAGCAGGGGCTGCGGCTTCGGGAGCGCGAACTTTGATGGGCCGCTGTTCCACCACTTCTTCCACGGCTGGGACGGGGATGGGGAGGTCCTCCTCCTCCTCCTCCTCCTCCTCCTCCTCCTCCTCCTCCCTCGCCTACCTGTGGTAGTGGGGGTGGAGAATCGGCCCATCGAGCTTGCATCCGTTTGCCAGGGGGTGTGGCGTGTGGAGCACGGGCCCGCGGTACACCACAGGGCCCTTGCGGCCTCGGGGGTGCCGGCGGGGCGCGCTGCACCGGGGGGCGTGGCCTCTCGGGAACGCGATGATGCTCGAGTCGGGCACGTCCCTCCACAGGAGGAATCTCCAAACCTAGGCAAACAATGGTATGTTGTCTTATGTTTGCGGTAGTTGTTTGGCCATGTTTGATTCGTCTTGCGCAATGCGCACAATGCGCCTGCAGGAGGACGTGCCCGACCTGAGACTGCGCGGTATCTTCGCATGTGCCAGGGCCCCTCATCACTCGGAGGATGCGAAACCTGGAGTGGCAGTGGAGCGTTCTTCGGCCTGGCGTTGTCCGGCGTTCGTCGACCAGCGCAGCCTCGGTCAGCGGCGGGCACGGGGGGGGAAGCGAGAAGGAGAAGGCCTTCTCGGAAGGCGGCGGCACTCCTCAGAAGCCCTCGCGCCTTCTGAGAGGTCTTCCTGTGCGCTCGGGGAAGGCTCAGACGACTTCTTCTCGGAAGGCCAGGGGGACTTCCGAGCCTTCTGAGAAGGCAGTCTCATCAGCGCTTCACCCCAGCGCTCGCCGCCAATCCGGGGCCAGACGCCAGAAATGTTCGAGCATTCGGCGCCGGGAAAAAAAGGGGGCACCTCACCCTCGCAGACCGTTGGCCCCCAAGGGACTGGCGGATGGGAACGTGCACCGAGCCCACGGAGCACCCCTCTTGTTTCGCCATCCATTCTAAGGCAGAGGGGGTTGGGACAGGATAATCGGGTCCACTTGCTCTGCTTCGTCCAAGGTCTGGTGGTCAATCGAAAGCTCGACGGAGTCTGCCTCAAGCGTGTCTGTACGAAGCACATCCGTTCCTTACCAGCTCTTTGCGTTCTTCGGAGTGCGTCTCATAGCTGCCCCGAAGGGACCCCCTTCATTGCTACTTGTTCTTTCCGTCCTTCATTTCCGCCAGCGCAGAGCTAGCCGAAGCCAACGAAAGTACACTTTGATGTGCCCATAGCGGACAGTTGCGTTGGCCCACGGCCACCTTGGGCTCGAGCTGTTTTCCATCAGGGGAAGCAGTACAGGACACACATCCTTTGGTCATCGCAGCGCCTATTTCCATGCAAGTTCGGATCGGACTGATGATCGCGCCAGTGAAGCTCGTCTTCGCGCTCCTCGTAGCCGCCATGGCACATGAGGACGACGTCGATTCCAACCTTATGCAGTTGGCCGCGGTGGGCCAGACGCAGCTTGTGACGAACAAGAGTTCCGTCACGTGCTACTTTACAATCGACAACTATGTATACGGTGTATATTTGGGCAGCATTGCCCTCAGCACCAGCGGAAATTGGGCCGTCTGGGAGGCAACCAAGACTGTCACGTTCACCCCTGATGGGAATTATTTGACAATCTCTGGTAACGACCAGGAGGGAACTATGTGCACGACTGGTGGTTTCGCTATCGAGTGCACCAATGGTGTGAATGGGAATTCAGGCTGGCAGGTTTACAGCAGCGGCAGCACCATTGATTACAGTCACCAAACGGGTGGTGGGAGTTCGTGGGGCTCTCCTTCCGGTTCGGCAAGCGGTTTTTATTTGCCCTACAAGTCAGGGTCGCCCAAAATCGGAGGTTGCTCGCAGCACGGAGCTTATCGGTACAACTTCGGGGGGGGACACCCAACCCGACGCCCTACCCAACGCCTTTCCCGACGGCCTACCCGACGCCATTCCCGACGGCCTACCCGACGCCGTTCCCGACGCCTTTCCCGACGGCCTACCCGACGCCATTCCCGACGGCCTACCCGACGCCGTTCCCGACGCCTTTCCCGACGGCCTACCCGACGCTTTTCCCGACGGCCTACCCGACGCCGTTCCCGACGGCCTTCCCGACGCCTTTCCCGACGCCCAGCCCGACGCCCAGCCCGACAGCCTCCCCTACGGCATACCCGACGACCTTCCCGACGCCCAGCCCGACGCCCAGCCCGACGTTTCCCCAGGGTTGGCCGACGCCGCAGCCGACGTTTCCCCCCACGGCTCCCGCAGCCGGGTCCGCTGGAGGCGTGGCTGCCACTGGCGACCCCCACCTCCAAAACGTTCATGGCGAGCGGTTCGATCTGATGAAGGCGGGCATTCACGTTCTGATAAACATCCCTCGTGGAATGAGCGCTGACAGCGCATTGCTTCGGTTGCAGGCCGACGCGCGCCGATTGGGTGGGCATTGTGCGGACATGTACTTCCAAGCGGTGAACGTTACAGGGGCATGGGCCGAGGTCAAACAAGTTGGAGGGTATCACTACAGCGTTTCGCAAAGTTCAGCCGAGACCCCGGAGTGGCTCTCATTCGGCCCAGTTCAGTTGAAAGTCGTTCGTGGACACACTGGCAGCGGTTTCCTGTATCTGAACGTGTACGTGAAGCACTTAGGGCGAGCAGGCTTTGCCGTCGGAGGTCTGTTGGGGGAGGACGACCATGAAGACGTCATCAGTCCTCCTGATGGGTGCGCGACGTATACGGAGCTCCAGAAGTCTGCGTACGTGGACGATCCTAGTATTTCCATGACGTCTGTTGGAATCGCGTCGTTGGCTTGATAGCGTCGGCGATTCTCTGCTGACGGCGATAGGAGCTCTGCGCTGAAACCTTTTGTCCTGTCCGCCACTTCTGAACAGCAGCCACTTTTGGACAATTGGCTTACGCCTTGCCGCCGGCCCCCAGAAGAGAGAGAGAGAGAGAGAGCCTGCCTCGTTCATTGAAGAGGCTGCAGTTTGCAGGTGGGGGTACAGGAGGAGGAGTAGGAGGAGGAGGAGCAGGAGGAGGAGGAAGAGGAAGAGGAGGAGGAGGAGGAGGAGGAGGAGAGGGATGAGGAAAAGGAGGAAGGAAGGAGGAGGAGAGGGAGGTGGAGGGGGAGGAGGAGGAGGAGGAGGAGGAGGAGGAGGAGGAGGAGGAGGAGGAGGAGGAGGAGGAGGAGGGGAGGAGGACGAGGAGAAGAGAATGATGGCACGGCGCTGTTCGGGGGCTTCTTCGAAGCTAGCAAGGAGGGGTCTGTTGGGACGAAGAGCGGAGAATGAGGGGCAGGAGGAGGATGAGGCTTGTCATGGCAATGCTTGCGGGCTTCTTCGAAGCTAGCAGGGGTGGTTTGTTGGGTTGTTGCACGGGGCCGCTGGAGGGATGGTCGGACCTGTCCAGTGTGAGGGTCTCTTGGGATGCCTCTCAGTGGCCTTTTGGAGAGCTGTTGGGTGCATGGGGGGGAGGAGGAGGAGGAGGAGGAGGAGGAGGAGGAGGAGGAGGAGGAGGAGGAGGAGGAGGAGGAGGAGGAGAGAGAATGCGAAGAATGAAGCGGAGGAGGAGGGGGATGAGGAGGAGCAGGAGGAGAAGGTAATGAGGGGCAGGACGAGGAGAAGGTCTGTCACGGGGCTATTCGGGGGCTTCCTGGAGGTTTTTTGATGCCTCTTGGGGGCTTCTTGGGGGCTTCTGGTAGACGTCTTGGAGGCCTCTCGGGGACTGTTGGGGGCGCCTTTGGGGCCTCTGGGGGGCTTTGGGGGCCATCGTGAGGGGAAAGGCTCGAAATGTCAGTTCGTATTCCTTGTCTTAAGTTTGTTTGGTGCCCTCCTGGGACTCCCTTGGGCCGTCCTGGGGGTCCTTGGGGCCGTCTTAGGGCCCGCGTGGGCCTTCGTGGTGGTCTTTTGGGGATCTCGTGGACCGTCTTCTGACGATTTTCGAGACCCCTCGGGCCGCTGTACATGCTCTGAAGACGAACAAGGCGAGTGTGCTAAAACAGTTATACGTTTTCCAAAGGGGAAGGGGGGATTGTGCCCTCTCGGGGCCTTCTCTGCGAGCCTCTGGTAATGCTCTTGGGCCGTCTTGGGAGCCTCGTGGTCTGTCGTGAATCCATCTTGGACCGTCGACGGGCTACCCTCTCTTGGACTCTGGGGGCGTTTTGTCTGGGCGCTCTGGGGCCGTCTTGGAGCTGTTGGGAGGATCCAGAAGTCTCAGGGGTTCGCTGACGAGCTCGTCCCCGCCCCCCCCCCCGGAATTGGATGTTAGACCCCAGGAGAGGGCGACAGGGCAAGCTAGGTGCGCTAGCGTCACACCTGACGTCCTACCCCTTCCTCCCATCCCTTACCATGGCGTAGATCTCCTATCTACTCGCAGAGTCGGATGTCGAGCAGGGCAATGATCCCAAGAGGGTACGCGATGGATGGAAAAGCATGACGGAGAAGAGCACTGCAGAGCATAGCATGTCAGAGCATGGCGTGGTATTGCGTAGTGCAGCATTGCATCACAAAGTATAGCAACGCAAAGCATGGTATCGCACAGCGGTGCACATTACAGCATCGCATTGCATGCCGTGGCATGGCATTGGATGATTTGACGAGAGGACAGGGCCTGTCTGGAATGCCAGCTCCATGTCCTCCGCAACTGTGCTTGCCCGGTGTGTGAGCTTTCGAATGCCAAGTGCCGCCCGGAGGCGCGGGAACGAGACCAGCGCTGCAGCGGGAGCACGATTTCGAACGACCGAGGCGCGGAAATGAGGGCGGCGCTGCAGCGGGAACACCATTGTGGAAGAACCAGGAACGACCGGATTGAAGCAACATAGGAAGCAACAGCAAGTCATCAAATCTTGCGTGTAGGAAACAGTTCGCGGAGAGGACGGGGAAGACTCTGGACAGAGTCAGGGGAGAGAGGGGATTATCATTCATATTGTGTAATTGTGGATGGGGGACACCCAATCACCTCACACTCCCGTTCACCCCCGGTAAGCGGGGGTCGGCGGATTTGCACTAAGCAGGTTCCGGGCACAATGGTCTGCATACCTCTGTGCATGGCTCTGCGGCTCGCATGAGACTGGGCTACGCGGTCCGCAGTAAAGCTAGAGGACCACAGCCTTGCAGGGCTCCCTCCTGAAGTTCTCGGGGCCAGTGTGGACCACCCAGTGTGACACCGCCGACAGGTTTCGGCACGAACGTTCAGAGCAACCCTTAGTTCTGGATGAGCACACCCTTACAGTCTTCGTGCCTGGGGTCTCCACCTTGGAATGGCGCTCGTGCAGGGTATAGTTCGATGGGGCCTTGGGATCTCGGCGAAGGGGCTCGTGCTCGTAGCCCGCGTCTTGGTGGTCTTGCTTCGATCGCCCACTGGAATTTGTCGGGCCTCCCTTCGGCGCGCTTCCTAGACTGCCCAAGGCCGCCCCGACCCCCCCCCCTCGCGACAGCAGTCAAGCAGCACGCGGGGTCACAGTGGAAACCCATGCCAAGAAACACCCCGCTTGCCTCCAGGGTGCCCGGGCTTCTTGGGCGTCGATGATGTTTGCCATGGAAAGCGCGACGTTCCCTCACCAAAAACCAATGCACGCCTTGGGGTATTAGGGTGGAGTTTCTTGTGGAAGTTTCCCTGGTGTCGAGCCCCTATTGTCACAACGAGGCTGATCTCGTGAAGGTGTGTCTGTACGAAGCACATCCGTTCCTTTCCAGCTCTGTGCGTTCTTCGGAGTGCGTTTCATAGCTGCCCCGAAGGGACCTCCTTAATTGCTACTTGTTCTTTCCGTCCTTCGGTTCCGCCAGCGCAGAGCTAGCCGAAGCCAACGAAAGTACATTTTGATTTGCCCATAGCGAACACTTGCGTTGGCCCACGGCCATCTTGGGCTCGAGCTGTTTTCCATCAGGGGAAGCAGTACAGGACACACATCCTTTGGTCACCGCAGCGCCTATTTCCGTACAAGTTCGGAACGGACTGATGATCGCGCCAGTGAAGCTCGCCTTCGCGCTCCTCGTAGCCGCCATGGCACATGAGGATGACGTCGATTCCAACCTTATGGAGTTGGCCGCGGTGGGCCAGACGCAGCTTGTGACGAACAAGAGTTCCATCACGTGCTACTTTACAATCGACAACTTTGTATACGGTGTATATTTGGGCAGCACTGCCCTCAGCACCAGCGGAAATTGGAACAATTGGATGGCAACCAAGACTGTCACGTTCACCCCTGATGGGAATTACTTGACAATTTCTGGTAACGACCAGGAGGGAACTATGTGCACGACTGGTGGTTTCGCTATCCAGTGCACCAATGGTGTGAATGGGAACTCAGGCTGGCAGGTTTACAGCAGCGGCAGCACCATTGATTACAGTCACCAAACGGGTGGTGGGAGTTCGTGGGGCTCTCCTTCCCGTTCGGCAAGCGGATTTTATTTGCCCTACAAGTCAGGGTCGCCCAAAATCGGAGGTTGCTCGCAGCACGGAGCTTATCGATACAACTTCGGGGGGGCGACACCCAACCCGACGCCCTACCCAACACCTTTCCCGACACCCTACCCGACGCCGTTCCCGACGCCTTTCCCGACGGCCTACCCGACGCTATTCCCGACGGCCTACCCGTCGCCGTTCCCGACGCCCTACCCGACGGCCTACCCGACGCCATTCCCGACGGCCTACCCGACGCCGTTCCCGACGCCCTACCCGACGCCCTACCCGACGCCGTTCCCTACGCCTTTCCCGACGGCCTACCCGACGCCATTCCCGACGGCCTACCCGACGCCGTTCCCTACGCCTTTCCCGACGGCCTACCCGACGCCATTCCCGACGGCCTACCCGACGCCGTTCCCGACGCCCTACCCGACGCCGTTCCCGACGGCCTTCCCGACGCCTTTCCCGACGCCCTACCCGACGCCATTCCCGACGGCCTACCCGACGCCGGTCCCTACGCCTTTCCCGACGGCCTACCCGACGCCATTCCC